GTTCTAGGGGCTCTGATAAGGATCCTTCTCCACTGTCTGCTGCTATCAGAAAGAGTTCAGCCCATTATTTGTGATTCCCTGCACCTCTATCATGAGTCCTCCCTAACTCTGTCTCTGTAGGAAAACTAGAGCAATACAATGTTTAAAGGCACCAATGACACTACCTCTATACTGGCTGCTTGTGTACGTGCCTTTTACAGGGACAAATGCAAATGTGTTCTTTTCTCTGAGTGCTGGGTGAAGGAGAGGAAGAGGGCGGCTTTGGCTGGAATGTGAACTATTTTATCTGATGCATTAATGAGTTTAGCAGAACCCAAAGCATTCAAAGGCAGATGCACTTTGCCATCACTTGTCAGTCACAGGCTCCCAAAGGCAGAGGAATTCCAGGCTAAAGAAAAGGTCCCTTTGTCTGGAACTGTAACTGGTCCATAGTTAAGAGACAAAAGGTCCAGTTTCAATCGGAATCCAAATAACGATTAACAGCCTTTTCATTCACTGCTTAAGAGAAAACATTTTCCAAGCAAAAGCTTTCTGTGAAGCCCCTGCAACTCCTACCCCAGCTCGTGCCTCCCTGAAGTAGCCCCAGCGTGTCTTAGGGGCCTGGAAGAGGCCCATTTCAACAAGTCCAGGGCTAGTGCCGAGTCAGTTACCAGGGGTCACTCACAGCTAGCTGTTCTGCTCTGGGAAGGCCCGGTTTCCCCCATTTTCTAGAGTACTGTGTTGTCCAAAGCTGATTTTCATCTTTCCTCTTGCATCCAGATAGGAAGCTTTTTGGCTATCAGAAGGCTGGAATTGGCGGGGGGCGCGGTAGCTCAGTGCCTTAATCCCAGCACTTTGGGAGCCAAGCGGGTAAATCACTTGAGGTCGGAGTTCAAACCAGCTCTGCCAAACATGGTGAAACCCTTGTCTCTACCAAAAAAAAAAAAAAAAAAAAAAAAAAAAAAAAAGAAGGCTAAAATGATGTCACAGATGGAATGTTTAAGCTTGGGAAAGTTATCTGAAACTCAACTGATTTTTAGATAAAATGTTAACGGTTTCTCTCCTGAGGGCAATTATAAGGCAATCTGGGCTCTTTTTATGTCTTTCCTCCTTCTGCTTTGAAGGGCCCACTTCTGTAGGGTTTTGGACACCTCAGGAAAGAGGGGTCATCATCAAACGGTTATAAACTTGGCAGAAAAGTCGAGAAACCTGGGTCAGCAGTACAATATAAAGGGACGGTGGGCCCAGACACACCACGGTTACAATATTGGTCCTGCCCCGTACTGCCTGTTTGACTTTAGATAGCCGATTTAATTCACCTACCCACCAATCAGCTTCCTTGTCTGTAAGATGGGGGCACCAATTTCTACCCTTTGGTGGCATGGGAGGATTAAGTGTCCACAGCGTGATTCACACTGACACATAGTAGGGGCTTGGTTAATGGTAATACTTTCTATATTTCACATCCCAATAGTTCTGCCCTTAGACTGTATGCTTTTCTTACTGTCCTCAGACTTGTGCCTCAGTCTGCTTATCTCTAGGCTGGGAATAAATGACTTATTTAGTTTCATCTCATGATGTGCAGAGATCAGTTACATCCATCGTGTTAGACGAGGCTCTCATGTGCAGGAATCTGTGTGGCTTGGAGGGGGAAAAAGGATATAATGGGGCAGGGACTTTGACCTGCCCAGAAGTCAGAGGTAAGAAAGTAGGGGATGACAGATAAGAAAGGATCATGATAAATGTAGGTAGGATCAAGTGGGCTCTTATCAGGCTGCAGTTGGGACTACTGGACGGGTACAATCCTCTCCTACTTTCCCTCATCTTGCCCTGCCCTGGTGGTACCTGTCCACCCAGGGATGGGTCCTGGGAGAGAACACCAGTCCCCAGGAGACACTAGAGGGGCAAGGAGTAAAAGGGGCCTGGACCTCTGTCTCTCTGGACCTGATGCCTCCTCGTCCTCCTGGAGGACCTCCTGGAGAAAGCCTCCTGCCAATGGGGCCCCTTCCTTGGGTTCTAGGGGCTCTGATAAGGATCCTTCTCCACTGTCTGCTGCTATCAGAAAGAGTTCAGCCCATTATTTGTGATTCCCTGCACCTCTATCATGATCCCTGATTCTGATGAGCTGAGAAGGAATCACAGGATTGCAGGGTCTTAGGGCTCAAATTCAGTCTGCAACCAGACCCACAGATCCTACAACATCCAGCCTCTGCATTCTTTCTTCAAGACAGCTTTCTTATCACTTCTTCCAGACCACATGCCCTGAGCTGCCATTAGGTCCCAAACCAGACGAGGTGCCTCACTATGTTTCCATGATACCTTGTACTTTTCTCACTCCGAGCTTTTGCCATACTACCTTTAATATGCCTGTTTGCTGTTTCCCTTCCTCAATAGACTCTGAGTTCCTGGGTGGTGGGGAGCAAGAATCATGCCTTGTTCATGTTCATATCTTCAATATCCTCCACAATATGTGGATCAGAAGAGGTACTCAAAACTGTTGTGTGAATGCTTGAATTAAGATCTAGTCCTGGCCAACTTCTCTTGTGTTATTTCTCACCATTATTCAATGGTTGGATATACATAGAAGTCACTTTCTCCATCCTGAATATAAAGACTTCAGGGTTATTTTAATAATCTAGCATACCACATATATCCTCCTAATCTCACCTCACCCAGAACTGGGCCATGCCCATTTGCTGCCAAGCCAAAAATGACCTTGTCTCCTCCTTCCCAGACTTACCAGTAATGTCCGCATGCATTTGCACAAAAAGGGGATTCTTGCTGAGGCCTCCACACAGGAAAAGAGTACTGATCGAGTGCCCTGCTGCCTCCATGGCTTCTATAATGAAGCGAGTCCCCAACTTGAAAGGAGAAGCAGAAGATAGCATCAGTATAGTTGCATAAGTAAACACTAGGGAACACTTCTTAAATGTTTACTGAGTGCTAGACACTGTACTAAGAGCTTTACATACACTATCTCAGAAAGCTGACACTCACAGAGACTATGTTGTCTATGATCACATCATTAATTAAATCATAGAGTGGGAATTTCAACTTGGGCCTGACTGATTCCAAAACCCTCTTAATTACACCATTTGCTTCTATCAGTAGTTACACAACACTGACAAAAACAGTTGACAATGTCAACACAGTTAATGGTAACATAGTTCATTCAAACAGATATTTAATGAGTGTCTACTATAGCCCAGGCCCTGTATTAGGAGTGATTGCAATACTACTCTAAAACAGAGTCAATGGTATCTTGGTCAGTCTTCCTTTACTAAATGGGAACTAAAGGCTTTTTCCTTAAGAAAAGCACCAAAAAATCCAGCAGCAGAATCATGGAAAGAAGCCTCTAATTGCATAAAGAAGGTGATATCCAAGGCTTCAGGGTGGCTGCGGGCTAAAATTACCTTTGCTATTACCTGAAACCAGGTAGTGGTTCTCTAAAAGGAGGCTTCTGAGCCAAATCCATTCCCAGGTTGTTTCAGGGCTTCACCATATTTTCAGTTCAGCCTTGTGTCTCAGTCCTTATGTGTTAATATCTTCCTAAAGCACATTATCCTCATCCCTGTCTCTCTAAGTTCATTAAACTCAGTAAAAACCGTTATTGTTTGAGAAGAGAACATTGCCTTAGAGTTACGGAAGTGAATCTTAATGTAGAATTCTTCAGTTTTAGATAAGATAGTTGAACATCTGAAAAATCTTAATTTACTTGAAAGTTCAAAAACTAGAGTTCAAAAATCAAAATGTATTTGGGATGAGGACTAAAAACAAGAAGATGAACTGTGATGTGGCCTTAAGGGGGCAGCCACATGATGATGCCTGAGAAAGGAGCTCCAGAAAGAATAGAGGAAGAGGATTTTTTGGTGGGTAGCGAGTCTTTGAAATGTTTAGAGATTGTGCAATTTGGGGAGATGTCAAAGTCCTAGGTGTAGACCTGGGAGTGAATTGCTAAAGGGGAGGGAAGAGAAGTCAGAAGAGATAAGAAAGTCAAGGATCTGGGAGGCCAGTGTGTCTCTACAGATGGCATAGCCACCAAGAAGAAGGCATGAGCCAATATCTTGTTTTTTAGTGAAAGTGTGACAGTATTGTTCAGGTTGAAACCTAGGAATGTAGTGAGTTTAGCCAAGGTGAGGAATAGGGTTTTGGAAGTCAGCAGGATGCTGCCCTGACCTCACATCCTGTGGGGGTGGGGAGTAAAGGGTAAAAGAAGCCTGCTTTGACAAGGCTGTCTAGGGAGCTGTCACCCCAGGGGATGGGGGAACCTGGGAACAGGAGTGGTCAGAGGGTGATCTGGGAACCATAGGACATGAAATGCTAATTGCTTTGGCATAAATCATGAGGGACAGGGGCAGTTCAGGAGCAAAAGACACAGCAGTTCTAGCCCAGAGGTCTTTAGGGTTTGTTGAAGCTATTCATGAATCTGGTAAAAATATGGATTAGGTAAAACCTGGGCCTCCAAAAACAATCCACAGATGTAGTGTGTTTAGAAAAATTCAAACATGTTGTGCCATATAAGGCCAGATCCTACATACTAACTAGGGCTGATCATTCCCAGATGTTCTTTGTTAAGCTTTTTGGGGGGTCATGAATCCCCTTGAGAATATGCCAAAACCTATTGACCTCCCCAGAAAAAAAAAGTCACATACAAAATAGTACTATAAATAATTTCAGGAGGTCTACAGATGCCTGAAGTCCACCATGGATCATTTGATGCCTGTGGATTCCGGGCAACCCCAGTCTGCTCTAACGGCATGAATCTGTAGTAGCTAAGAGCATGAGTTTTGAATTCAAAAAACCCAGGCTGGCATTTAGGCATTTCACATATTTCTTATACCTTAACCTTTCTATAACTCAATTGCCATTTTTTTTTTTTGCCATGGGAATAATAGTATCATATTCACTTAGTTAAAAATTCTATAGATTGTCAGAAATGTCAACATGCAAAAAAATTAAAAACGTGGTATTAGGCTTGATGAAATCTAATAATACCTACCATATAAGGCTGCTGCTGTAGGCAGCGAAGGTAAAACTTGTAGAAGAGTGTCCAGTTCACGAAAGGTGAACAAGGAGAGTTCTTCTGGTTATCAGCTACATGCTAGGCACTCTGCTATGCACTTTAATAGCATCTCTAATCTTAAGGCAAATGTGAAACCTGCATATTGTTATTCCCACTTAGGAGATATATAATTTGACTAAGCAATACAGTCTGTATAGGATGGGAGAATAGCTGTCTCCTAATTTGTATGGAAATGTCAGGCAAAACTGGTATCTTTGATATTTCTAAAACCAGGGACTTAGGGGCACGCGATTAGCAGGCCTGAGACAAGAATAAAACAAAGCACATTTCCTGGGAAAAGGAAAGAAATGATCCAAGTAAGAGGCACTCCCTCGAGAGGGGCTGTGACAGATAGCCTGTCTCTCCCCCATGTGGTATTGTCGGCTGGAATTTCCCACTCAGTCTGGCGGTTCCTTAAAGGACCTCCCCTTTCGGTGTCCCAGACTCCAATCTGTGTAATACTCCACCCTACTGAAATGTCCCACCAAAGGGCTTTGTGTGAAAATGATTTTGTGCTCACCTTTCTGGAAAAAATGTTTTCACAGAGAAATTTAAATTAAAATTAGGCTATTCCACTGGGAATGTACAGAACCGAATGCAAATCAAGAGACTTCAAATGCAAATAGTACCTTTTAAGGGTCTGTTCTGCAAAGAAAACTATAGATGAACAGGCTATGGATAAACTGCGTGGTTGACAGGTCTTTCAATTAAGCATGATCAAGAGAGAATTTTACTTCATGGAGGGTTTTGCACAGTCCCAAGTTAACTTGATTACAATCCTCTTTAATTTCATTTCATCCCAACAAAATAGCACCCAAAGATATGACTACATATAGAGAGAAATTTGCTTAACTTTCAGATGACCGACAACAAATACGTGCTCTGGCAATATTCAGGGCTAATGAAACAAAATATTTTTTCCAAAGTTGAACATGATGGGAAAATATCTGTTATCAGAATACCTCATTAAAATGCACATTTTTTTTGCCTAAAAGATCAGCACACTCAGATACATTTGCAAAACAGACTGAAACCCTCACAATTCACTTGACTCCACAAAAAAGCCTTATCGAGAAAAATCTCTGTCTTAAAATGCCTTCCTTTCATGGTATTATAAAGGTCATTAAGACAATGGACAGAATAAATATGATAGCTTTTAATACATGTACGGCCCATTAAATACAAGATTGATTTTCCAAGTGTGTGGTACTTGAGAAAATGTAGCTGGCTTTTTTTCTTCCCCTCTCCTGCCTGCATTAAGTTTAACCTCATTTATACATTTCTGGACTTCTGCTGCAGTACTCTTACCAGGAAAGGGACCTCTGTGAGACAATCCTGGCCAAATTAATGGTATTTTCTAATATATGTTAAGTAAAAACGATTCTTAGGAATATCTGAAAGCTTATTTCACCCATGTAGCTTTTACAAACAGATCAAACGAAAATGCAGCATGGTAAAGTGGAAAGAGCAGGAGCCAGGGTGTGAGATGGAGAAAGGTTCAGATTCCAACTACCACCCACTAGCTGTTTGACCTTGGCAAATGGTCCTCCCTTTGTCTGTAAAATGAGAACAAACCCATCTACTTACAGGGTTACAATGTTAAGCTACCAGTAGGCAAGGTACTCTGTTTGGTGCCTGGCACACAGTCGTGTCTGACGAAAGGTAACTATCATTACCACTATGTGATGGTGCCCCTTGGTCCATCCTGTTTGGCCTCATCCTTCATGTCCTCCCCTTAGCATGTGCTCAAAAGGGGGAGTATCACACCATTCTGATTTTCCAAGATTATTCATTTCAATATAAACTATTCATTCCACTATGGGACTCTTTTATACAATAACATTAACAAATCAGAAAACAAAAGTTCCTCAGTACAGTCGTGTGTCCTTTAACCATGGGAATACACTGCGAGAAATGCATGGTTAGGCGATTTTGTCATGCAAACATCATAGACTGTACTTCCACAAACCTGGATGGTATAGCCTACTACATACCTAGGCTATGTAGAGTATGGCCTATTTTTCTAGGCTACAAACCCATACAGCACGTTACTGTACTGAACACTGTAGGCAACTGTACCACAATAGTAAATATTTGTGTATCTGAACATACCTAAACATAGAAAAGGTGCAGTAAAAATACAGTATTATACTCTTATAGGACCACTGTCATATATGAAGTCCCTCGTTAGCCAAAACATTATGTAGCAGATGACCGTACTTCACATGTCTAGTTTTGTTTCAGAATGCTGGGGGTTCAAAGCCCACCTCTGCCACCAACTATATGGCCCTGCACAAGTTAATTAATCACATATAGGCTTAGGTTTCCAGTCTGTGGAACGGGGATTATAATATCTACGTAATAAGGTTAAATCAGATAATTTGTGCAATGTATCTAGCACAGTGCTTGGCAAATATAAAATACTTCTTAACTTGGCCAGGTGTGGTGGTTCATGCCTGTAATCCTAGCACTTTGGGAGGCCGAGACCGGCAGATCACGAGGTCAAGAGATGGGGATCATCCTGGCCAATATGGTGAAACCCCGTCTCTACTAAAAATACAAAAAATTAGCTGGGTGTGGTGGCGCACGCCTGTAGTCCCAGCTACTCTGGAGGCTGAGGCAGGAGAATCGCTTGAACCCAGGAGGCAGGGGTTGCAGTGAGCCGAGATGGCGCCACTACACTCCAGCCTGGCAACAGAGCAAGACTCTGTCTCAAAAACAAAACAAAACAAACAAATAAACAAAACCCAAAAAACCCTCTTAATTCATTTATTATCATCATAATCATCATTATCATTATTATAAAACCAGACAGCTAAATAATTATCTTTACTACTGATGCACACTTTTTTTCTCTATTTTCATCTTACTATTCATTTCCTGCATTTTTATAGCTGTCAGAATTGTGTGCTTTTGACCAAGTTTCCATGCATAAAGACATCTGACTGATTTCACTGAATTGGCCAAGCTATTAGACTAACAAGAAAATTGCTTCAGGAAGATATAGTAAAACTAGTGTATAATCTAAAAGGGCTGTTTAATCAAGTTGACTGACTCTATACTTCTATGCTGTTGCATTAAAGACGGTATATCCCTTCAGTATTAGTATTATTACTATTTGGGAAGTTCTATTCTTTATTGTACATACGTGGTGCCTGGATAAATCTGAGCATTAAAAAAGCACTTCTGCTGGTGGTGTGAATAAGTATACATATCATTTAAAGGAATAAAGTTATGAAAACAGTTGTGTGAAGAAACAGAATAATTGAATATCATATATGTACATATAGCATTAAACATATTTGCTTAAACAGGTGTTACTGAAAAATAGATTTTGAATCAAAATTAGATAAACTGATTTTTTCTTTCTGTTAATTCCTATTCTCTTGTCAGAAGTGGCTAAGCCTCACTGGATTAACTTAATTTCGGGTACATACCTGCTGTGAGACCCTGAAGGCCATGATCTACTCTCCTAAAATGCACTTTGTAACATATGCGCACACACAACCTTCTGGATGTGATTTCAGGATTAGAAACCTCTTGTAGCCCATCCATAGCCACCTCTAGATAAGAAGATTCCTTAGACAATGGTTAAGCTTTTAGGATTTCATTTCCAATTTTGATTTATCTTTAGTTTAGAAACTCCTAACATTTTAGATGTAAATTCCCCTCTTCCTCCCTAATCATCCTAACCTCACGTTAAGCAGCTACTTATCAAAAAACAAACACTTTCATGTTCTAAGGAAGCTTCCTATTTAAAGGACCCCTATCATGAATCCTTTTGCAAAGTGAACAATATAATGTATTTTATAAATCAGACATTCTTAACAACCTTTCTTAATGCAAGCATACATAGCATCTGCTTGCTTGCTTCTATTTAATTAAATTTAGAAGACAAATTAGATAAATGACAAGTATAATCTTCACAGATTTTAACTCCTTTCAGCTTTTAGTTACATGAGGTTATTAGTTAAAGCAAGTGAGGCCTTTCATCAACATTTCCTTCCAGACATACAAGAATTTCTTTTTTGCAAACAATCTTTTAATTAAGAATCTCTGTCACAAAAGCATGTGCTGTATCTTGGGGAGCCGGTGGCCTAGGGTATACTGATGGCTCCAAGTCTCTTTAAAAATGGCATTACAGTATCTTACAGCAATGGCTTGAACTGTGGCCAGGTAGAGAATGGCAAGATCATCGAGGTCCTGAGACAGTTTCAATCCGGTGACCTACAGGGATGAAGGGAAGAAAAGAAGAAGATGGTCAAAAGAAGCTGCCGTGGATAAAGATAGTTCCCATGAAATACGTTCAGATGTGTTTTCTTGCCGAAACAAGTTCATATGCAAATCCCCTTTTTGTGAGCAGAACGTGAAAAGCCTACTAAGTTGTTTAATCTCCAGACCTGGGAAAAACTATCCCTTCCTCCCCAAAAGAAAATACTCTGACCTTAGATTAAACAAAAACAAAACAAATACCACAGGAAGATTATGTTTGATATTTCTTAGACTATAATTAAATACCTTTTATTTTAAAACATTCTCTTTTCTTATAGATACCTATTTTCTGAGGCTTACAAGAAATCAACACGTAACAGTGGCATTCTAGTACAAGATGATCTTGTTTTGTGTTCTGCTACTGTCAGAATTCAGTGTAACAGCATTCAGCGTCCAATCCAGGGTAAAATAATACATCTCCTACAAATATTATAACTACTAGGAGATAACTTAGAATCTGTGGGTTGCAAGGGAATCCCATTAAAGTCAATAAGAATCAGATGTTTATATGGAGTATGTCAATCTCTGAGAGAGTCCAGAACTGAACAGGATGCTGGATTTGTACACCATCAGGACTTACTCACAGTCCTGCTTTCATGTCTTCTACTCATCAAGATGTTCTCTTAGGACATTTCTAGAGGCTGCTGGGTTCTTCAAGCCGAGCCCAGTGTTTGTAGGCATCAGCAGCACAGTTCACTTTAGATTATCACATTATAAAATTAATTCACCAACATTCATTTACTCGGTTCCTATGGTGTGTGTTGTCCTGAGCTCAACCAGGTATGGACATGCAGTTTGCATCAAAATAGGGGAGCTGAGTGGTCTATGTAGGTCCCTTCCTCTATCTTCTCTGGCCCCATTTAATTACTCTCTCCAGATTTCACCCTCAAGCCCACTGCAATTGGCCTATGGCAGGGCACAGGTACCATTCAGTTGCCCAAACCAGGAAACTCGGGAGCCCTCTTTTTTTGAGACAGAGTCTCACTTTGTCTCCCAGGCTGTGATCTCGGCTCACTACATCCTCCGCCTCCTGGGTTCAAGCGATTCTCCTGCCTCAACCTCCCCAGTAGCTGGAATTATAGACATGTACCACCACATCCGGCTTTTTTGTATTTTCAGTAGAGACGGGGTTTCACCATGTTGGCCAGGCTGGTCTCGAACTCCTGATGTCATATGATACACCTGCCTCAGCCTCCCAAAGTGCTGGGATTGCAGTTGTGAGCCACTGCGCCTGGCCAAAAGCCATCTTTCTTGACCTCCCCCTGTCTTCCCATATTTAAGCCGTCTCCAAGTCTTATATGTTTGATCTCCCAAATCTCTTTTGAATGCATCTCCTTTTCTTGATCCTTACTGTCATTCACTTCCTTAATTCAAGCCACCGTTATGTCCTTCCTAATTGCTGTCAGAGGCCCTGAGGAAATCTCACTGTTTCTAATTGTGCTCCTTTCCACACTGGAGCTAGACCGACTGTTCTTAAATGCAAATCTGATCATGTTACTCCCTGTAAAACATTCTCCCCATTGCCCTCACTTCACAGTAGAAATGCCTTCACTGTCTCGTGTGCTGCTTTCTGGGCTCGCCCTTGCTTCTTCTCCAGTGTTTACTCTTGTCCTTCCTCGCTCTGTATCCTATGCTCCAGCTATGCTGAATTATTTATCTAAGTCTGTTGATGCGGGGATTCCTACATTCAGTAGAGCTACCTGCTGACAGTTTTTCTTGGCAAATAATTGGGCAATCAGATTAGAATGATGGCTTTGATTTTTTAATACACAAGAAGATAGAAAATTAAAATGAGACACACGAGAAGAACTCTGGGGCTATGTTATCCTAAGCCATTAACTGTGAAAGAACATCCTTCACAAAGTTTCCCAGAGACCTAAGCATATGGTAAGAATTCTGGAACTCAGAGAGAACATGAACCATGCTGACATTATAGAACTTCATTTCACAGTGAGGAAATAATGTGCCTAAGGGAACACAGAGAATGGACACCAGAATGTAGGTGTCCTGATGGTCTTTGTCTTACTCACCAAAACTCTAATGCCCAGTGCTGTGCCTGGAACATAGTAAGCACTAAGTTAATATCTGCTGAGTGACAATTCACTCAGCACTGTGAACTGTGAACCAGTGACAATTCAATGCTTCTTTTCTCCTTTTAGACACCACTTTCTCTTCTTAGGTCCTATCCTTCTTTGTTACATTCTACAATTATAGGTGGACAAAGTTCACTGCCTCGGTTCCTCCCACAATCAGAGAGGAAGAGACCATGCCCCAAGAGAAAAGAATACTGGAAGAACACTTTTAGTCACTTGCTCCATGCTCCCAGCTGCCCTCCCCCATCCCTAAACTTACCCTTTCTCATCTAGAAAAGTGGCTTTTATGAGAATAGGGTAAAAGGAAAGGTTCCTGTAGCTCATATAGAGCCTTTGTGTGAACTTGAAAAAGGCACCCCATCTGGAAGAATGAATTATAAAAAGGTGCAGAGTAAGCAGGATTTCAGCCTAGTCATAGCCCCCTGAGCTGAACACTTTCTGTGAGCTGCCTGCACCATGCAGGCATGCAGTGGTCCTGGCAATGATTACTAGTCATGAACACCAGTCATGAGCTGAGCACCCCTGAGCTGAACACTTTCTGCGAGCTGCCTGCACCATGCTGGCATACGGTGGTCCAGGCAATGATCACTAGTCATGAACGCGATTCACACACGGTTTCTCTGTCTCTCCGGTACTGGCCTGACCTCAGCAGCACCTCTGCTATTAGGCCTCCTAGGGAAGTTGCTGGGCCATGGCTTAGCGTACTGTTCTAGAGCCTGTCCAGGAGGCTGCCTCTCTTTGACTTCCTCTCTCTGGTCATCAATAGGAAGTGGATGAAGCCATGATCCTCTGTGTGGCTGACTGACTCCTAAAGACCAGATTTGGATAATTTGTGCTAGAAGTGTGGGTAAAATATGACTTTGTACATAAGATGCATTACCCAACAGTATTTATTAGGAACCCCAGTGCCTTGTGTAATAATACCGATAATGTAACGGGTTCTGATATCCTTCTCAATTAGTAAGAATCCATAAGAGAGAAGAAAGGGGGTGATATAGCTGGATTTAACTTCCTTAATCACCAACAGACATCCAGGAGAATTTCCAAAAAGCATTGGTATTCAAGCAAAAAGATATCATGGACCCTTTTCTAAATTTCCAGTGCCTCCAGAGCTCAGAAATCATAGAGGAGAAAAGGGAGGATAATTTTTTCCCCCAGAAACTGAAAATGACATAATCAATGTAATTGAGCACTAAATTTAAATCCTGAGCTTGCTAGCAGCTATGGCAAAAAGGGACATATGAGGGTGAAATAGCTTTTTTCTGATAAATAAAACATAACTATCCTTGAAGGGAGACAAAATTATTCCTGGGAAGAAATTCTAGAAGAGATTTATTGCATGGATCGTAATATAGAAGGTATTCAGTATCAAAAGGGAAGCAGCAAACAGAGTTCTCACACAACCATTTCCAATATTCCCTCACCACTAACCCTAGAGTCATGGTATTGAAATGTGACTTAGTGAAAGATATTTATCTCTTAAGTGCAAAGACACTGCGGTCTGAGGTCCTTGCTTCCTTGACATCTCATCTGATATGCAGATGATCGTTAAGACCATTTAATTTTCTCTCAAATACCAGGGACCTCAGCCCAGTCAACCCATGACAGAACTTTGCAGGGAGTGCCACGTAGACTGCCTGAGAGGCTACAAAGGACCCTTGGGGAGCTGTCTTGGAAGGGAGGTGGTGACAGTGCTCTGGGAGTGCCAAAGAAGTCCTGGGGAGGTACAGCCTTGAAATGTCTGGAAACGCTAGGATAGACCAGATGAACTGATTCCCTAGCTGGAGGCTCAACGGTTCCATTAAGAGGAAGTAGAGAGGAAGCATGAGTAGAAGGAGTGTGTTTATTGATGTCCCTGTCCCTATTTTGAATGTTTGGGCGAGACAGACAAATGTGTAGGGAAGCCTGATGGGAGAGTTGCAAGGGTAAGCACATTTTATGTATTTTGGCTACTGTGTAATGAAGAGAACTGTAAGAAAAAGCGCTTATAATTAATATTTGGGTATATGAAAATACAATGGCCAAAACAATGCCAGTCACTGCATTGCCTAATTTTAACCTCCTAGATTATGAATATAAAGCACTTATGTAAATATTGGGAGTTGTGAGGTTAGAAGTGTATGCCAATAGAAAGAAAGAGCTTTAGAGGAAGGGACCTGGGTTTAAATATTGACATTTTCTCTAATTTAGCTGCATGACACTATATGAATTTTGTAACCTCTATGAGCTCAATTTTTTCATCTGCAAAAAAAGGGATAATACCTCAAATTATTTTTGTGAGGATTACATGAGGTATCATTTGCAAAGTGAATTACTTTCTTCAGTAAGCTGTACTGAGTCTATAAGAGCTACACACTCCTGTAACTCTTATGGTGCCAACTGTGCACATAGGTGGCACTTAAATGTTCATTTTCTTAATGTGGCACATATATACCATGGAATACTACAGAGCCATAAAAAAGAATGAGATCATGTCCTTTGCACGGACATGGATGAATCTGGAAACCATCATCCTCAGCAAACTAACACACGAACAGAAAACCAAACACCACATGTTCTCACTCTAAGTGGGAGTTGAACAATGAGAACACATGGACACAGGGAGGGGAACATCACACACTGGGGCCTGTAGCGGGGTGGGGTGGAAGGGAGGGAGAGCATTAGGACAAATATCTAATGCATTCGGGGCTGAAAACATAGATGACAGGTTGATAAGTGCAGCAAACCACCATGGCACATGTATAACTATGTAACAAACCTGCACGTTCTTCACATATATCCCAGAATGTAAAGTAAAATTAAAAAAAAAAAGTAAATTCATTTTCTTTCTCTTTCTCTTAAAAAGTGTTCATTCTCTTTCTC